TGAGCTGGAGGATGAATACAATTTAATGTCTAAAAAGCTTTGAAACAATGTCTGATTAGCCTTAAACATCACAATTATGCTCAGCTACATGTTAAAAAAATGTGAAACTCTAAATCTGACATGCAGATTTTATTTACAGGGAAGAAAACCTTATCCCATACGCACCAGAGCTGATCATCCGTACAGAGTGGTTCATCAACTACAATCAGAGCGTATCGAGAGTGCGAGGTATTTACACGGCGCCATCCGGACTGGAGTCTACCTGCTTGGTGAGCCTTGCTTTACAAAAAACAACTTTAGATAGAAATTAAAACAGCTGGTTGGGCTTTCCCCCCAAAAAATTCTCATTATTCAATAATACAAGGCCATCTTTGGTATATTAATATGATGTAATTTAGAGAAAAGTGTCTTATAAAATAGATAGTATAAACATATTCTTAAAAGATTTTTTTTTCAGATGATTATTTTTCTGTGGGAGTTAGGGTGACTTTTTGCCAATAGGCTGGACTGTACCAAAATCCTGCATAAGTGGAAAAGTAACGGTTATCTGTTCGTTATTTTTCTGTGTCAACATTGCTTTTAAAAAAAAGACATTTTATACTTTTGAAAATCCTGTCTATTTTCTTCTAAATTATGTCTAATATGTAAGGAATAGTATTTTTGTTTTGATTAGGCAGGTTCCTCCTATGCTGTATAGATCCCATCTGGAAATCACAAACCACTTTAGGCTTTTATTTGGTGGCATTTACTGGATTGGAAGATTTATAAAAAAGACAATCTATTTATTTACAAATATTGGCTTCAGGAGTCAGAGAGGATTTATTCATAACCACCTTTGTCAGCCATTGTGGTTATGTTGGTCTCTATAACCCTATTTATGCTACCCTTTTGTAACCGTGCTGAGATCGCTCCAAGCACGTTAACAGAGATAAGTGAGTGTAAATGGTACGCAGAACTAACCCGGACCACACCAGACACAGCTGAACTCCGCTAAAATGGTTTAGTTCATCAGTACGGCTCAGCGCGTTTCGGTTCTGGCTCAGTTCTCATAACTTTTTACAGTTTCTTTAATCATGAAATTTCAGACATTCATAAAAATACTAGCTTCCCTACCGTGCCATAAGATTTCCAGTGATGATTGTGCTTAGAAGTGTGATGAACTTCAACTCCTGTCGTTGTTTCCTGCATCTGCAAACCCTGATTAGACTATCCTTTGTCGTATCTACTTCCCAAAAGCCGACTTTCACATAACTTCACTAATTGGATCGGTTTTCAGAGGGTTGTATAAATTGGGCTAATGTCACAATGCACAGGTCCAAGGTAATCTCCTAAGTGTTGGGTGGAGTTATGATCCAGACTGCAGCCAGGCACTACATCTTCCCCACTATAGGATAGAAGGTGGTCTTTATTAATGGAGCTCACAGACTGTAATTGGCTGCAGAACCACATCTTGGGTTCTCAGCATTTAGATTATCGCTGTTGTGCCAAGATCGTAATTCCTGATTAGGTTTGTTTCCAAATGTCCCCTATGACTGTGGACAGTTTAAGAATGTATTAAAAATGGAGGAATTTGATTTTCCTCCAATAAACTTTTTGTTCGTAAGCAAAAATGGTTGTCATTTAATCATTCTTATGTTGTTTTCAGAGTTTTGTATAGATTTATACCAAAAAAAGGTTTTAGTCACTGACCTAAAGCACTAAATCTTTTTATCTTTTTTGTCTTTCCCTTGTAGGTGGTGGCGTATGGTCTCGACATCTACCAGACCCGCGTTTATCCCTCAAAGCAATTCGATGTGCTAAAAGATGACTACGATTACATGCTCATCAGTAGCGTACTCTTTGCCCTTTTCTTCGCCACCATGATTAGCAAACGCCTGGCAGAAGTCAAACTGCTTAACCGGGCCTGGCGATAAACTGATCTTACTTAGTCCTGCACCTGAGAGCCCCACGGCTGCACAAAGGACCTCGCTCCGAAGAGATGAGACTGCTGAGGCCGTGCCACAGGCCAAAGTTCAATAAGGCCCTTAAGGAACTGCAGGGGACGGTGGGGAGGGGGTAAAATGAAGGGTTAGGTGAGGTTTTATGTGTTTGTTTTTTAACTTATTTTTCAAAAGAAGAACTTGATCCGAGTTGAAACATTTTTTTTCTTCTCCAAAACACTTTTAATAAATGTACAAATAACTAATTAGGAATGAATTAACCAGAGTTGGAAATATGAAATGATACTTAAGTTAGGGACTCCTAGGGAGTTCTAAAAAATGCTCTAGATATCGTACATAATTCAAGAGACCTGATGGAAAGTCATAGCAAATTTAGAAATCAGAAGAGATGGATGAAAAGGCATGTGATCCTTAACGGTTCTTTAAATGGTTTCAATATAGTCTGAATTTAATGGTAAAGGAGATGAATTGAGAGCCTTGATGATCGACAGCCAGGCATAAAAATTTCTAACAGAAGACGCTGTTATCAAATTAAAGGTAACTGTCTATGGTAGACTTTGTTTTCCCTGTTTTCAGCCATTAAAAACCGTTGAGAACTCCAGTCTGAATGTCCTCCTTTCTTCCAAGAGTCTTAAATTGTTAACTAAAGTTTTATTGAGGCGTGAAACTCCTTAGATATCATTACACTTCATGTTTGCCAGTCAAACTCACCCCTCTCCTCAAAAACCCTTCAGCATCAGACCAAAAAGAAAGACCAAAAAGACAGCTCTCACAATGAATAAGTTATTTATTTAATTAAATAGACCATAAAACAATAATACAATCTGCAGCCTTTTCAGGGCTTAAATCCATGTTGAACCTTCATGGGAACGTCCATGAAGTCTGTAACAAAGGCTGTAAACATGAGTCTGAACCTCAGCAGTGTAAACGTAACGTGATTTCATCTCCATCCACAGATCTTTGTAAAACAAATCCAACATGGACAGTCGACACTACAACTAAACAAAAAAAACACTTGATTTACATACATGAATAAATGATCAGAAACGTGACAGCTGATTAGAGCTAAACAGACCTCATTTGTCTAGAAATAAAAAGCCTAAGGAAATTAAATAAATACTTTAGTTTAAACATTAGGAGTCTTATTCATATGTATGAATGAACCTTTCAAGATAATTTGCGCTAGTTGTAAACTAATGCAACAAAATTGAAGTTGGATTGCTAAAATCTGTTAGAAATAAGAAAAAAATATATCTATTTCCAAACATCCAGACCTAAACATATGAAAACACTTTAAACAATGAGTCAAATCAGCTGGTAACTCTTCAGTTAACAAGCCTGCAGCTCCATAGGGTGTTAATAACCATACCTGTCACTGTCACATTTGGTTGAACTTGTAATGTGTAAAATATTACACCTAAATATATTAGATTTCTTATAAAAAAAAAACAAAAAAACGTGTGCAATCAGCATATAGGCACAAGCCCAGCTTGTACCCGAGTCATTTGCTTTCTCTTAAAGAAAAAAGCATAACTCCAGGCTGGTTTTAGTGGCATTAAAACAATTTAGGATTAAACACTATTCAGTGATTACATACAAAAACAACAAAAAAGAAAATTTGCACATCTCAAACTAAAAAAAATCAGAGTTAATTTATTTCAGCTATTCAGTTCAAACAGGTTCATCAAACGTGATATATTTCAAATATTTAACATGTTATTTTGATTATTTTAGCTCACAGCTAATTAAAAATCACCCAATTTCTCTGAAAATGTGTACACTGACATAACTTTTTTATTTTAAAGCAGATGACGGATATTCAGCACATCCCAATTTATAAATGTGAGAAATTAACAATGTTTTGGCCTTAAAATCAAGTCACTGAAAAAATCTCCCACAACACTTAGCACATGGACATACATTACTCAGTAGGCTGACATAAAAAAAATAAAATAAAAAAATCCTTTACCTATTGATCTTACGTAACCTTCCCAGTATGAGAAGCAGATTTTCTGAGAATTCATTAACCATTAGCTGAAATCATTTGAATGAACAAAAAAACTAAAATATATCCCCCTGTATAATAATGTTCTATTTGAGCTTCGCTTTTTTAAAATGTATCTACTGAAATAACTGATGATGTTGCAATTTACTAAAAAAAAACACTCAGTGAAAATAGATCCATGAGGTATTTTTCCTCCACCACAAGAGAAATACTCTTAATACTGAGTGCTGTACTTTATTGCTGTAAGGTGAACCGTAAATATGCCTCTTAAAATACTGACCGGTAAGATATTCAGTCAAAAACATCACAGTCAAACCAAATAAAACAAATGTGTGACAGAATAGCAAAAATACAGCAGTGTACCATGTTCACAATGATGATGATTAGTGTTAGGCATGGGCCAGTACAGGTATTAACGTGTAATTTGGTTTTCTACACTGTCTTGGAATATCTGAGATAAAAAATCTAAAAACATAATTAATCTGGTGGGTTTTTTTTGTTGATTTAAGATTAAATGGCATTTTTCAAATCTATAATTTGCCAAAATAACACCCTGATTATAACATTTTGCCCTGATGACAAGTACTCTGGTTTTCAGGCATTGACTGAATTCTCATTGAAAGAGTAAATAGCAGCCACCTTGCTACTGTTGGTGTGTAAACATTTGCAATTCCAGGTTGAACTGGACCAGGTTAAACTGCCAAGCAAAACACTAAAGCTGCTTGTTTTTTTTAAACTCATCTAAGGTTCCAAAGTCCAAAGATTGTTCTCTAAAAATGTTCCTGTATTTTGGGGAAACTTCCAGTGATTTCATAGTCCAGATTCCTCGAAAGCAGCAAAGTTGCTGCTAAATGGAGGAAATCCAATCCTTTTTTTTAGCAGATAAAAATTTAAACATATGAGGTGCAGCTAAATGACCTGCTGATAAAGTCATGAAAGTCTCAAAGTTTACTATGAAGAGCAGAATTAGCAAAATGGTTTAATATTCTGCAAGGGAAGTTTTTAAAAACAACTAGATTTTCACTATTCTGTTAAAAATCCCCTCCTTTTTAAAAAAAAAGAAAACTAAGAATTCCACTGTAAGCATCCCCTACCAGCCCATGCCTAACGTCAGTCACTGTCTTGTATTCGTTCAAAGGATTCTATCTTTTCTGCCAGACGCATCCAGTCCTATCAGGCTCGCTCAGAATCCTTCCCCGTCTCTCTGCGTGCGCGGGCCGACCCGGCGGCAGCAGAATGTAATGCGTGGCGCTGGCCTGTTTGCCGTCCTTCAGAATGGGAACGATACAAGGAGAAAACTGTGCAGCTGGTGGTGCCCTTTCGCTCTGCTGTCTCTGTAAAGCCTTACTCACATAATTTGGATTAGCAGCAAAACTCTGTGTGACGGGCATCACTCCATTGATGTAAATTGGGAGGCTTTTGGGGCTTGGGGTGCGTGGTGGGCAGGGTGGGACCAAGGGGACCCTTGGAGGGACTTTGGGAGGCTTTTCATCCTCAGAGTTGCTCACAGGCTTGGAGAGAGAGGAGGGTTTAGGTGGGATGGGGATACGAGGAGGGATTTGAGGTTTTATAGGAGGAATAGGGGGACCTGAACAGGAAAAACAGTTTCTGGATGAGGCTTGATGCTCTGACTGTTTGTCACCAAAACCAGCTCTAAGAGCAGACACATCATGCTGGCTGTCTCTTTTCTCATGAGCAAAGTAATCAAAATTACAGTTGTTTGTAAGAGGTCTGCTTCCTCTACCAAGCAGTCTGTCCTCTCTGCTTGGCCAAGAGAAAGCAATGGAGTCAGAGCCTATAGCTCTTATCTCCAATGACCCCCCCTGGTAGGCGTAATTTATCTGACCGCAGTCTCTGTTGCTGCTTCTGGTTATTGCTTTCGGGCAGCTTTTGGGCAGGAGGCGCTGGCGGTCACTGGTAAAGAATTCAACCTCACTGTCTGCAGCTTCATCTGACATGAGGTCCTCAGGGTCAGGAAGCGGCGGGAGGGGTTTGGCCTCTTTCTGTCGGACCCTTCTCTGGGAGGAGGGGACCACCTGGTCTCCGTCGCACTTGAAAGCATCCGAGTGGTAAGCAGGAAAGCGGACAGAGATGCTGGCTGTGGAGGGAAAGACAATTATCAGACAAACTGAAAATCTCAAACTGCCCTTCCACTAAACTCAGTTGATACGAGTCCTCTGCTATCACTGTTTCTTCCTCCAGAAGAGAAAATAAAAACTGTCAGAGAGGAAGAAGCTTTGAAAAACAACCGGCAGTGAAAACAGATACAGGACAGGAAACGAGGAGTGAAAACAATGGCCTAACCCATCACCTTCTTAGTCAGACATCAGTCACAACACCCGGATTATCACAGGAAGTGTCACTATCTTCAGAACCACCGGGTTGTAATCTTAACTGAGCTTCCCATAACCTTCTCTGTGGAAACATCCGACATGCCCCAGACTGCGGGAACAGCTGGTGACCGAGGAGCGATAGCTTCAACTCCTCCTCTCGTCTCTACTCTGATACATAAACTCCTTCTAAGGTTTTTTACTGGAAAGAAATAGAATCTAATCAAAATTAAAAACTGGCGTATGTAGCTACTGCTTATATTTTACACGTAGAAACAGTTACAAAGACTCGTGTTATTTTACTGCAACAATATTGTAAATAATGAAAGAGAAAATTCATTAGAAACAGATATAGAAAGATATGTTGCCTTGAATAAAAAAAGCTAAATTCAGCCTCTAATGTGATTATATTTAATTAGTGAGGGACAAAGAAAATGTCTGCTTATGCAATAATTGTGTTCATTTAAATAAACTGTAACTGAGGCATTTAAAATACCAATGACTATATTTCCTGATTCCTGGGGTATAAATATGATCTTACACAGAGATGCATTTATCTCTAAAAAGGAAACCATTAGCTTTATAAGGGATTTTTTTTTCTTCCCTCTCACAAAAAAAAAAAAAAAATAATACTCAAATTAAATTTCCTGGGATTTGAACTGCTGCTGCTGAAGCAAAAGATTAGCTTGTGTTAAAGCCAGGTGTTCCAATAAAAGTAAAGGCCACTGAAGCCTGTTTTATCCTCCGTAGTTACTGTACAACAGGTTAGAAGTAACAGTCTGACTCACAGTTAAACTGCTTGGCCGTTTGTTGCTGCTGCAGCTCAGTCAGGCTGGGGTCCATGTCAGCACTCAGGCCGAAGCACTCTCTGCAAAGCAAAACAGGCTGAGAAATCCATACAGAAATGTGGGAGCGTGTGAATGTTTCCTGCATGCAACCCGCTGTCAATCAGTTATTGTATGCCGACTAACAATAGTGCATTCGTTAACAAAAAACATGCCTGGCACTTTTTATACTAAGAATTAAAAGTTAAAGGAAATTTTTAAACGCTTTTAATTTGCCAGACATCCTAATCGACACTATATTGCTCCTGCTGTTTATCTTTCTGCAGTGATGCTGTTATTGGGATTTTTGTTTTAGCTTTTTCCCCAAAACAAAACACAATCCTGTTCACCATGACTATGCAAACTTTATTTTTCTATCCAACAAGCTTTAAATTTTGTTCTTACCTGTGCATTTCTTGGTGACCCCAGTAGTTATTTTGATTTCCATCCATGTTGTGGCATAAAAAGTTGCTTCTAATACGCAGGATGTGAACGGTTCGGATGCAAAGCTCTGCTACCAGTCAGCTCCATTAAATCCATCAGAGGATCATTGTGAGCAGCAGCTGCAGCAACAAGCTGTAGGGGAGACATGGAAGCTAGTTAGAGCTGCCGAGGTAAAATTATACAGTGAGGACAGACATGAAATAAACACTGTTTCATGTCGGGCTTATGGGCATTATCTCTGCTTTGGTTTAAACAGGATTTACTGGTGTAAAAAAACTCATAATACAGCTGAGTGAAGCACAGTCAAATACTCCCAGCCACACACCAGGCGATTAGAGCCATCTACGGTCTATAGATGCTTTAAGAAAAAAGGAATGTGGAAAGAAAACCCTAAAAAAAAAGTAAGTAAATAAAATATTTTATACCATGAAATCCATGCAGGAGGCTGGATTTTTATTTATTTTTTTTACATAAAGTAGGGTGCATGCCAGTAAAAACACATTAAACCATTTTGTTTTCTTGAGATGATGTGATCTTCTAAAAATTTTATTGATAAACATTCTGAGCTTCTGTTTTATCTATTTTCTGCTCAGCCCTCATCCTAATAGCAAACTGTTACAGTTTATCTATACTAGTTTAATAAAGCAACACAAATAAGTATAAAGTCTGCAAAGTGGATTACGTTTAAAAAAAAACATACTAAAAATACGACTTGGCAGATATATTAATACATACACTGAAAAAAATTTAAATATAAATAAGTCATTTTTTCTTTAAAGAAGTGCATTTTTCTTTAATTGAGGAGGTAAGTGAGACACTTTGCCAGAGGAACAAGACAATTTTCTATTTAAATAAGAAAAAAATTGCATTGTCTTATTATCACATTGTCTCAGTATCTTAAAAAATACTAATTCCATTGACCAATCATTGTATTTACGTTCTTAAATTAAAGGTAAATACACTTAATTTAAAAAATATTGACTTATTTCTAGATGTTTTTTCTCAGTGTAGTGTAGCACGACAGCTCATAATAATTCGACTGTTTACATCTGTTGTAGGGATGTGCGAGACCAACACAAGGTAGTAAATAATTGTGAAGTGAAAGGAAGAGGAGACCATTAGCATTTACATTTACTTCCTTTTAGTCCAACACAGAGCTAATGTGTGAAGCAATCTCATCCTGCAATCAAAATGTGATATCTGATGAAGTAGAGTTGGATCAATGACATGAAATTAAACAATTACGATACAACTAGGGCTGTCCTGATCTGATATTGGTGTTGATAATTGGTCCGATAGAAGACAAAAATATGAATATCAGAATATATTGAACTGCGTCTAAAATCTCGGATATTAGAAAACTTAATTTGCTTCTGTCCATTTGTTTGAAGTTCATATAACTCTTTGGTGGATAAAAAATATTTAGTTGCTTTAATAATTGATGTTAAATATAGTCCTTTGTTTGTGAAATGTCTCTTGGTCGAGCATTTTCTATATTCCACACCATTCAAAAATACATAATGAAAGTATGTATGAGTTGTGCTAATGTCCTATCGGGTAAATATCGGTATCAGCCATTACTCAAAGCTGCAATATCAGTATCATATGGGAGATTAAAATTTGAATTGGGACACCCCTATCCGATGTTTGGGTTTGAGGATCTGAGACCAATTTTTACTCTTCCTGCCATAAAAAAAGTAACTATAAGAGGCAAGTCATGGGTGAATGAAAGCAGAAATGTTTATGTAGTGGACACAGCAACTACAAAAAAAGACAGATTTATCTAAACAGAAACAAAGCGGATATGTTTGGCCTGCATGAAAAGTACCATCCACCTTGAAACAGGGTTCTGGCAGCATCATGCTTTGGGGGTCAGGGAAGCTGTTTAGCGTTAATGTGAAGAGGAATGGAAATTATTTTACATGCAGAAAACCAAACAGAGCTTCAATGGAATGGACTGATGCATATCCATGCATTAAAAGGGAAAGATTAAAATTAAGCTCTTAATCTTACAAAAAATCTGTTTCAAAACTTGAACATTTTGCTCAATAACTCCTATTTAATTTAATTTCGAATGAGGTACTTTCAAACAAGAACAGTCAAAATTTGCAGCCTTTTGATTTCTCAAAACTGACTATTTATAACAGAACTGACAGCATTTTAACCTTTATCCTCCACTTAACATTTATATGCCACTAAAATCCCAGTACGATACACTGAGGCTGCTGTTTTTAGGGTGAGAAATTGGAAAAATGTAAATACACTGCACAGAACAAGATATCTGAGCATTTAATACAATTTAAAATGTCCAAACTATGTTCAAATCACATTTAAAATACCAAACATGATGTCACTACTAAATAAAAACTCAGGTTTTAAATTAATTCCTTAATTTTTAGCACACTGCACATTACAAAAAACATAGAGTGCTCGTGCACAATTTTATGAAAGCATAGAAAACAGACGACAAAAGCCTAGTAAATGACTTCAGTCTGCTCTCACAGCTGCTGAACAGTATGTTTCACTTTGTACTCCCAGGCTGTTGCACAACCTCTGGGTCAGATGTGGGAGGGAGGCAGCTCCTCTCACTCTCTTTGCTCTCCCTCTTTGACCATGAAACCCTGCAGCATCCGCCTGCTCAACAGGGGCTAATTGTACCGCATTCCTCTGATGCCGAATCGCAAACACAACCAAAGTACAGGGATTAAAACACCAAATTCTTTTTGATCCAGGGAGGACAGTAGATCCCCAAGGTTGTTTAATCAGGTTAAGAACAAAGATAATTGAGAATGCTTTAAAAAATGCTTTAAATCTGTTTTTATACAGCAGTATCAACCAAAAGTACCAGTTTTTTTCATATTGCATTGACCAATATAGATCTAATTCTCTTTTTTACATTTATTAAACAGCAGCTAGTGTAAAGTGAAACGTGAAAATGTGAATGAATGTATCCCACACCTGACTCTAAAGTATTTAAACCTTATTTCATTGTTCTAAACCATACAGACCTGCTTTGTCTCATGTCAAATATCAGTTGTCTGAAAACTCAAGTGGGAAGCAAGCCATTTAAAGCATGCAAAGATAACCCCCCCCCACACATCCAAACAAAACATTGGCTCATATGTGTGTTTGAATATGAAGATCATCTCAAACAGAGCCGTCTGTGGCGTCACTTCCATCCAAGAGCCTCTGAGATGGAAGACATTGAACAATTAAGGATTCTGTGGGCAATTACTCAGCATTCATGAATGGAGCCACTCTCAGCCATGAATGGGCCTTTGTGCAAACCGGGTGCAAAGTCGGCCAAGCCTGAAAATACAAGTGAACTCTCCCATGAGGTTAGGACGAGAGATACGCCATGGAGACAGGCCGACACGGCTGAAGCATGAGCCTGCACCAAACGGCCTTCGCAGGGGGAATGTATGCGCTGGCGCAATGAGAGGGAGAAGCCAGCAGTCGGAGGAAACTGTTTGTTTTAGGTCAAGCAGGAACATGATGTGCTGTCCTTGGCAGCACCAACCTCCCATTTGTGAGGCTATTCACTGGTCAGATGGATATTGATAAACTAATTGTTATAGATTGTCCACGCAAATGATGTACCAGCTTACCTACAGGCATAACTTTCTTTAAGTCTCAAAGAAAAACAAAAGTTCTCACACCAGAGATCACATTTATTTATGTTTTCCAAACCAATATATTCGAGGGGCGTTCAATAGGTAATGCCCCCGACCCACTTCCAGATCTTTGATCAACCTGAAATTTTGCATGTGAAATTATTTAAATCTCTATAGATCAAATAAAAAATTACAGCTCTGAACTAATTGTGGTTTCTGATTTACTGGTGTTCAAACTGAGTCAAGTCTGAGTTTTTGCATTTGAAAGGGTGCACCCAACGGGAGACTTTTGATCAAATGAAAGTAACTTATAGTGATAATGTCCCATAATGTAACATTGTAAAACATTCTGCAAGGTCATATAATGGGCATCATCACCATAAATTACTTTAATTACACTAAAAGTCTCCCGTGGTGCGAGTCCTTTCAAATCGAAAAACCGGATCACTGCTTGACATTCAACAGGCTCCATTTCAGACTTTACTCAGTTCAAACATCTGTAAGTCAGAAACCGCAAATAGTTCAGAGCTGTAATTTGTTACTTAATCTATAGAGATTTAAATAACCTCACATGCAAAATTTCAGCTTGATCAAACATCTGGAAGTGGGTCAGAGTCATTACGTAGGTAGAAGTAAGTAGGGGGCACTACTTACATTTGTATATATATATTTTTTATTTTAATTTTTTTTTTGTGTATCCAGCCATTATTGTTATCTATCATTATCTACTACTTATCACATAACCTTACTTTTTGTTTACAAAGAAAAAGAATTGATGTCAGGCCAACTGTGTCCAAGAGTTTCATTAAGCATAAATTAAGACCCTTATTCCACAATGTAAACCATAAAATAGTTCATATTATGTCGCCTATGATGCAGTTCATAAAGTTATGCAGGATGCATAAAAAGTGTCAAACGCAAATGAAAATTAATTTGCAGGGGAAAAAAAAGGTTTTTAGAACAATGGCACACAAATTTATAGTCATGATTCTAAAACGTCTGTATTGCTGGGTTTAGTAATTTTATTGTAAACTATTCTAGATCAATTTGATCTAATTGACTGTAATACTGTCGTTTCTGTCCGTTTTTCTGAGTTCAGCCATGGCTATAATGTAGATTACAATAGTGAGAGGAGATGCTTTTTAGGTATTTTCCATTTACTGTAGTAAATGGAAAGAAATCTAAAAAGAAATGTGCTGTTGATTGACCAGGTTAACAGCTATTAGCAATCCTAGCTAATAAAAGTGTAGTTTTTTAGCTAAGATTGCTAAAAAGCAAACCTTGCCAGCTAATTCCATTAAATTCAATCTTGTACTTTGACAGTATAGCACTATGGCCACGGAGGGAAGCTGGTAAAGTTGGTGTGAAAGATTCAGTGTGAAAATTTTCAAATCACAAATAAAGAGCTTTCCCTGCAACCAGGAAGGGAAGCCATGTTGGATTCTGCACTACTGGTCAGAGAATTTCTACATGAAATATTAACTCACAGGAATCTCTTTATCAACATTTCTAACTTTGGACATTAAAATCAAACTTCTCAACCAAAAGAGAAAGAATGATGTAATCAAATTGAATCCATAATCATTTAGTCTTGATCTTGTTTAAAATGTCAATGCTATTAAACATGTCCAAATAAACTCTAGAGTTTCTTCTATAAAACACGTCATGTTTCAGTCATTTGTTCAGATATCACTTAAAATCAGCAACATGTCGTGCTGTTCTTGAATATGCTGATTTCTATATGAATCTGTCTGAGCAACATATCATAAACTGAATTCACTGTGCAGCATGGTACCAATGGTTGATATCACTTTTTTTTTTCCATAATCACCCTCTTTTTTTTTTGCAGAATCACAACCCCCCCATTATTGTCTGTAAATTAAAAACAGTTCTACTTCTTCCCCCTCACCTAACCTCTTAAACACCCGGTATGGACTGTGCTCCCAGGCTTTTTATCACATGTTTGTTCCCACAGTTGGAAAAGAACGGAGTAACAGAGTGTTTAAATATGTTGCCCCCTCAGTCTGAATGCATTTACCCCCAATAGTCAGAACTAACACCCTGGGAAGGCTATGAAGAAGCCAAGTTAATTAATTGAAATAACTTTAGTGTGTGCTATGTTGGCTATTCTTAATTTTAGGTGTTATATATATATATATATATATATATATGTTATATTAATAACTATATTAATGTATGTCACTGCATTAATCTTAATGTTTGTAAATAGGGTTGTTCTAATTCTTGGTAAAGAGATTGAAATTCTCAATTGTCATCTAGGTATATTTTTTATATATATTTTTGTACATAAAAAAAAAAAAAAAAAAAAAACACTATAACCATAGAATAAGTGTTCAGTGGCTGCTGATAAATATTTTAAATCATGGATTACTTGACATCTATTACATCTTTTCTTCCTCTTATTTTTCTTTTTCTTATATTTCCGTTGACTTTATATGATAGCAATTATGGACACCTCTGTTGCACAAAGTGGAAGAAAAACAATCATGCATTGTTTTAAGTATTTTCCACAAATACAAAGTAGAAGAGTCAGGAGGTCACATTTATTCAGACCTTCTGGGTTGATGCTCTGTATAACCGCCTTCCTGCGTAATTACTAAAAGCTGATCTTTTGTCCCAGCTCCTAAAAGCTCTCTTTTCATGATTTCAATGTATTAAACTCAACAGATCTTTTCATTAACTCCAATCAGCCTCCTATTCTGGCTGACCACCATATCTTACTGTGGGAAGTGGGTCTTGAATGAATTTGGTGCTGGTTTTCCACCACACAGAATCCTAGATGTTAGCTAGAAATTTAATCTCACCAGAGCTTTTTCCTACATGTTGGCTTATTTCTTAAAAACCTTTAAGCAAAAAAAAAAAAAAAAAAAAGATTTCTTTCCAAGATATTTTTATTTCACCATTCCATAAAAAAAAAAAAAAAAGATTTATAGATTTATGAAGGGGACAACTTTTTTTTTTTTACCCGGCATATGGATTTTCCAAACTGTTCAATCTCTGCAGCTACCCCATGTCTTAGTACATTATTGCGTTTCCTTTTTAAGATGAGGATTTAACAGATCTATGTAAAAGCTTTAAGGCTGGGTGCAATGCCTTATAACATTTCAAATATTTTCACAAATTTTATCCTAAACCATCTGTGTTGTTCCTTTGAGTTTGTGATGCTGCCCATTGAGGCTTTTGCATAACAATATTAGCACTGATGTTAAAATATACAATGATAAACACAAAAATAAGGTAAATTTTCATGCCAAACAATTACAATCGTTATTTTATTGAATGGTCTCACATAAAAAAAAACTATAGATAGATAGATAGATAGATAGATAGATAGATAGATAGATAGATAGATAGATAGATAGATAGATAGATAGATAGATAGATAGATAGATAGATTTATGTAATAAGCAAAATAAAACACAAAATATTAATTCTCATCGGCCTTAAAATTAAGTTGCTATGGATCTGTCTTTCATTAGTTGCATAGTTTGTAATTGCAACGCTAAAAACATGAATAAAATGTTTATCTGAATACTTTTCTAAGCACTTTAGAACGTTTTGGCGCCCTCTGTTGGTTGCAAGGGGAACGTGTTGCCTTTCATTGCTGTCAGTAGCGGAACAGCTGAGAACCTCTCTGGACAAATAACCCATTCTTTGTGTACATTTAGCACTTTCGACCCAGTTACCGAGCATCATTTGAACAACTTTTTTAAATGAAAAGTTTGAAATGATTGAAATCTGTTTTCGATTCCTTGTCTTTAATTAAATTCCCTTCAGGAAACAAGCTACTTAAAACAGCGTAAACTAGTTTAAACATGCTTCTTAGACACAAGTTCATATATACCTATTTCATTTTTTGGTCGCCCCCTTTTTGTCATTAACTTTGAAACTTAGTTCATCTGAGATAAGGTACTGATTTAAAACTTTAAACTCTTACCACAATTAAATCCCGACTATGTCTCCATCACGTAAACGCGTCTTGGTCGATCTTTGCTTCTCATGAATGTTAAAAATCAAATAGTTGTTGTGAGTCCCATCAGATCCAAGCCATGTGCAACATCCTTCCTCTGTCAACAACGCTGGGAGGTGAAACTGATTTGGTCAGAGTGACGCAGTTTTCCATAACTGCTTATATATGGATCCAACACCCAGGGAGCGTTACTGTAACTCCACCCATTCCTGTCTTAAAGAGGCAAAATCTTTCCGAATATGGAATAACCCATTATTCATAAAAACAACCTCCAAAAAGACTGTAAATCAAAAATAACCCATAGAAACATTTCTTTGTGCTCTTATATATTTTGAATGTGTTTTAATTTATTTGTGTTTAAATAAGCTTATTGCTTATAAACTATGTTTACATGGAGCACTTTGGATTAAACAGGTTTATTGAAGTGAGATAATTAAACTTTTTTTTGCATTTATAAACGCATCTTTTTACCTAAACCATATTTAAAAAGGCAACTTCCACTGTATATGCATTTTTCAGACCCAGATTGGCAGTCTGTTGGAGTGGGTTTAAAAAACTCACAACCTCAGGATTCCAAGCGCTATGTCCTTACCACTATGCCGCAACCCCCCGAAACATATTATTGTTTATGTCTTGGACATATTATTGTGTCCAAGACATAAACTATGACAGTATAGAGCCGTATATATCAAGATAAGGTCTCTAAACTATACCGTTTAGTCAAATACCTTGTGATGGGAACGTCAATTTGTCAAAAAGCTGAAAATTAATCTTGGTAAATATTACAGCAGAGAGAAAACAATGCAGAAAAACCTTGGATTTGATTTGTGTTGTTTACTGAGAGTCCAGTTGAGGCATTTCATAAATCAGTGAACAGTTTTGACATGACCTGCGTGGGTGTCAGGGAGCATGTGGGTGGACTCAGTGCAGAACATCTCTTAAAGATGAAAAAGTCGATAGCCAGTTCACTCATTGTACACTATGGCTTGTTTTTGAATCCTTTTCTGTGTACTTGAGTGACTGTTTGTCTTACCCTATACGGAGGTAAACTGAACAGACAGCACACGCAAACATTTCTTTTAAAGAAGCAACAGGGAGGTAATATGTTTGTTTTTTACCAGTCTGGACCAGGCAGGGCTTCATACAGTACAAATAAATCCTCAGGGCCATAGACCCTTCCAACGTAGAGTAGAACACGTAGGAGAAACAAACTAAACCCTCCAATCATCACTGTTCCATTGAGTTAACACACTAATACACCCATTTAAGGCTACATTCAAATGAAAGACCTAAACCTGTGTGCACAATGTCAATCATAAACCTAAACAATGATTACACCACATGCTGTTTGCAAAGCTGGATCTGCAATCCCCCACCGCCTGATGACATTTGTTTGCTCTAAGGCAGACTCAGCAAGTACACTTTCAGCAAGTTCTCAGTTTGATTGGCTTTATGTTGAGCAATGAAGTGCTGTGACCTTAGTAGTGAAAAAGCTGCCTGTTGTTCACAAAAGTGCCATACAGTTTACAGTGCCATGTAAAAGAATTGATTCCAAAAAACGTCTTTGCATTTTGTTACATTACAAATACAAAATTCAATTTGTGTCATTTGAATTTTGGCAGGATATACTAACACAAAGGAGACCATCATTGTGAACTAGAAGGTAAAGGATATATAGTTTCTGAAAACCGTTTTCCCATTTTCCCACTAATTTCTTAAGGTATGTTTGAACTGATTCCATTTAGAAAAAAGCTAAAATTCAGGCTAAAACTATCCATCCATATTAACTTTAAACTCTTTGATTGAGTAGTGACTGGGCTATCCTCACGTGTGAATAAGTTTTATCTAAACCAGGGTTTTTTTAAACCCCGAGCTTCTTTCATGTTTTAGACGTGTTCGTCAAGCACACCTGATTCAAATGATTGCATTTTTTTTTTGCAGCCATCAATGCTGCAAAAGCCTTTTGTTCACCTTTTCATTCAGGTCCAGTGTGTTGAGGCAGGGAGACCCTTAGAACATGTAGGACAGTGGGTCCTAGGGATCAGTGTTTCTTAACCCATCAGCTGTAGTTCTGTTTGTATGTTTAAGGTTGTTGTCCTCCTGGAAGGTAAATCACTGCACCACTCAGATGCGCTTTCCAATTTTTAATTACCGTAACTGTGACCGACTTCTGTTAGATAATTTCCCTGTCAGATATCCTCTGCATATTTTTTCATTTGAAGCGATCCATTTAAGGCTGGTTTCCACTGACCAGAGCAGTTTCCCAGGGGATACAGGCCTGAGGCTGACTGAGGGAACCTCTTTTGTTTTTTTTTCTTAATGTTTTTCTTCTTGTCATATCTTATCTTAAATACAAGTCGCATGTTTTACTATTACTGTTCTCAGACTTGAACTGTGGATCAGTCCATTTAGCTGGACTGCTGTGTCTTGGAGGGTTTGCATTTCTTCAATACTCTTACTTTTATAAGGATTGAACAGCGCTCCATGAACTTTGAAAAGCCCATCATATTATCTGGCTTTAAGCTCTTCCAATATGTTCTTCTTGACCTGTATGCTGTGTTCCTTGGTCTTCTTGTTGCTGTCAGTCTTACTAATAATTGATTGATCGATTGATTGATTGATTGATTGTTTGACTTTATTGATGTCACAGATGGGAAATTTACTCGTTACATCAGCTCAAATAGTCAAAAAGAAGAAGAAGGTGCCAAAGGAAGAAAAAGTGTTTATACATTATACATTGCACAAGGTATTGCCATTGTAGCAGTTATTTGCATTGTATGGTCTAGTGTACTAAAAATGTCACAAATATGTAGATTATAGAGTTTTAATATAACACTGTTAGGTTTATGGTTGTAATATGACCCCAAAAATAGTAAAAGAAAAGCAAGATTCTTTTTTAATTTTTCGTCCTTTAAAGGTTTGTACAGTTGTTTCTTGAATTTAATGGTTCAGAGATGATTTCAAATGTTTCCCCCTTTGACAGGCAGCTCTGAGGCTCCTCCATGTATGCATGTGGTGACCCCTGTATTCTCAAAGCTGTGGGAGTTGTTGTTGGGGTGGGCCAGTATCCCAGAGCAGAGGTCAAATCATTTCCTGCTCTCAAAGATCTCAGTCTCTCACAGCTGTCAGTGCTGTATGAAGCCCACCTTCCACATCTGTAGCGCCCCATACCTCCTTTCTCTTCTTTGAAAGGCCAGTTTGACTGGAGTTATTGATAAAAGTTTTCAAAGATGACATAAATCATAAACTAGGATATCCTGACAAGAAGGAGTGGAATAAAGAAGCTTTTCATCCCCCCAGAAAATAGACGTCTGTCCAACAATGTCTTAAGCTGGAACAGGAGATGAAGGAAGGAGGTGTTAACATGTGTTTTCTATGGTAAATATGTCTGTGTGGGTGGATCAGCCGACATGGTGACACAGGGAATTCTCTTATGGGGGAACCAGCTGTGCATAAACATGTAATAGTGATTAGAAACAGCACCACTGGCTGCAGGCAGACATGCTTGCTACTGCTTTTAAAGTCCCGGTCAACCTGTCCTGTTTGAGTTTCACATTCCTTTGGATCCTAATGCTCTTACTCCAGTAAATCTGTTAGTGGTTGTTGCAGCTAAAGTGTGACACAGCACAGCTTTGTTTATGAGACCCTGATTTGTAAAATATGTGAAAAAGAGCTTCATCAACAACAGCTGTGGGTTTGATCCATTAAATTCCTATCCGTTGAGTAGTACATAAACTGTTACGGACATATTAAACTGTGACGGACGCAAGAAGAAGAAGAAATTCTTCAGAAACTCTTGGATCTAATTAGCTGCAGTTCTTTGTCACCGCCCACCGCTTCCTCCAGTATGACACGCTCTATTCCCATTTCTTTTTTTCTGGTGATACGCCTTGGAGGATATGCTCTGAATGATTTGAAACACACTCCCGCCCTTTTGCTCTGTTCTCTTTTAGTCTAATTGTTATAAGGTTGGAGTTTGACAAGCTGGAGGAGGCAGGAAGAAAATCCGGCTCCTCAGATGTCTGAGTGGGTTTCAGACCAACGCCTTTGACCTCTTCCAGTGAGCAGACAGCTCAGTTATTGAAGAGCTGCCAGCTGTTGGGAGGAGGGTGGGGGAATGAGCTGATGAGTGTTTTTGGGTTCATTTTGATTGCTGGACAGTTTGATAAGCTTGAGAACCAAGTTTGATTAAATTGCATTGCAAAAGGTGAAATTTAGAAGGAAGACACAGACAGATGCTAAAATTATAATATAAATGTAGGGAGTAGAAATTAGGAAGGAAAAAGCACATGAACTGCTCCACTTGGTTCCATCAGAGGTACACTGATGGAGGATGGATCAGTATTTTTTTTTCTGTTTTGGTCTTATATACTATATACCTTTTCCATGTTCTCTTACATCACCACCAGCTGTACGGAAGGAGGTGCTCTGGTACGTTGAACGTTTGGGCCTACATGCAAAACTTTAAGGATGGAAAACGAACCCTCCACATTACCCTGAAAACACTGTTCCCTTTGCGAAAAATCTTCTTGAAAAAGAAGAGGGACGTTAAATGGAGCGTTGAAAAATGGGAGAAATCTAAGTGGAAACTGGGGGAGAACTAATACCATTACCTGATACATCCAGGACTAGAAGAAGTATCGCTTAAAGCATTTTCTTGTGTTAACGAGGCCTGGTCAAAGTCCACATCATTTATTTTTAATAATAGTCTGTGCCAAGGATTGAATATGTGATGTTCATAGCCTCTCTGCAACCAATATAACTGATCAAATTGGGAAAAACATGGAATTCATGCAAACCTGCTAGTGACACGCCTCTAAAAGATTTGCAGTTGAAAATTATGTTTAATGGATGTTTTTACGAAGTTGTCTGCAATGTTCCTGTATGTAAATTAAATAAACTTCACTTGCAAAATTTCATTCTGTAAATATTCTCTTAAACCCTACATGCTTCACTGTCTGCATCACATCTGTGTTGCTCTTTAACATCATATTATATTAAAACACTTTAAAATATTTCAAGTATACAGAGTAAATATGGGATTTCATTACAGTCCAGTGAGAGGTGTTGAAATGATGTTCTCAATATTTACGTTCATTGTAAATTTTTTAAATTTTTTATGCAATTCTTTATTAGAATTGCTGACATTTGTTT